ATTATGTCAAACATGTTCGTAATGATATAATCTTTTCCTTGTAACGATAAATTTAAATCGGTTAAGTGTTTGGTTAAGTGTTAATCAGTAACTCTTTCCGCAACTGTATTTCGAGACAGTGAAATTGATTGAAAAGCTTTCACATTTCCAGGACAAACAATTTCTCCACCTTTCATTCAGCTCCAGCTTTTCAAAAATCGTCTGCGTTGCTAAGGCAACATGAAGAAATCTAATTACAATTCTAAATAAAAAAAACTAAATAAATAAATAACTATTAAATCCGTAACAATATATGAATTAAGTAATAGTTAATAATAAAGCAAAGTGCATGCACATGCATGCACCAATATATCGTACAAAACTATGATTGGAAAACTGAGACCATGAGTTCGGCCACATTCGTCTATCGCGGGATGCATACAAGTTCTGAGTGCACGTGTCTCCCAAAAGCCGAAGGTAGCTGAACGCAAGCTACTCACACGCATTTGTAATTTAAGTAGTGTATGTGTCAGCTCGCTGTGAGTAATCTAACAACACTGAATAAATTATCGTTAATTACTTAGCAGTAAACTTTCATTTTTTTTTCTTCGGTCGATATGTTATTTTATTATTATATATTATTATTTGCCGATATATTGGCCGGGCCGCAAAAATATTTGTTGTAGGCCGCATGCGGCCCGCGGACCGCGAGTTTGGCATCCTTGTTGTAATAGTTTCCGTCCTGGGTTGCCAATGAGGGCGGTATTGACCTCCTGAGGGTGGATGAAATTTTAAAGTATGTCAAAGATGATCAAAAGGGTATAATGTTCCGATAGCATTCGAATATGCATCGAAAGTTGACCGCCATAAACAAGATGTCAGTGATTATAAAAAATTTATTAACAAAACTGGTGATTGGTTATTTACTCATATAAAGCTGAATCATTTAGTAAATAAGAAATCAGATAGAATAAGTATGAGAGAAAAAACACGCTTAAGTTATTTAATATATTTTTAAAATCACTAATATATATTTTTTTAAATAAGTAAAATTTTTTATGTAATAATGCAACAAGAAAAAGTAAAACGAAAAAACACAAGATATTAAAAAAATAAAATACGAAGGATGAAAAACTAAACAAGAAATAGGTCGAATAATTTAAAGAGAGGTGATTTAAAAAGAGTAATTTTATGCCAAATATTAAAAAATATGCATCAATGCATCAAGCTTAGCCATCACATTACCTAAAATCGAACTTTTCTGCAGTTTGTGCAATGCAGTGAAAACATTGATTTTGATGAAGCTATAAAAATTTTTCAGAAGCTCGTCAAAAAAAAGTCTTTTTAAACACTTTTCTTAAATCATCAAAAAATGGGAGATCAATAAGCTTTTTGAAATATGTGTTTGTCTGCTAGATGTAAGTTGATTCTTTTTTAGTCTTGAGATATTTTATTTTTCAAATCATTTTAACTAAATAAATGATAATTATACATTTGTGTTGGCATCTTATATGGTGATCATTCAAATAAGGGGCCCCAAGAAGATTTTCGCCGGAGCCCGATTTCCACCCGGGGCTGATAAGCTTGAAAACAACTGGGTGACAATGTATCCCTAAAAATTGGCTCTGGAACCAAAAATCTTACATCTAGCATAAGCTTTTAATGGGGGGGGGGAGGAATAAAGAATATATATAAACTATTTCTTTTCGTATGATTAACAGTGTGATATTTCATTCAAAATTATATAAACAATCAAAATGAAAACAACACTGAACAAACTACTTACCATAAAACAGTAATGCATTTAAGCTATTTAAAGTGGCAAACATTCAAGTCTTCATGACTAAACATTTCCAGGTTTTAAGTATTTTCTTTAGACGTCAGATTCCCTTTTTACAAGTATATTTTAATCCATTTTCAGATTTAAAAGTACTTAAAAATGTGCGTTTCCTTTTAAGTGCATATTTTTGTACTTTCTTATTTAAGTAAAACATGTAATTTTTCACATTTCAATTCAAACAGGAAATACGACTATCGAACCGTGCCGGTTAAATATTGAAACATTAAAAAATTATATATATTTATATAATTTAGTTTTTTAAAATTTTACGCTAAACATGTAAATTATTTACATACTTTTTATACTGTTCGGCGACGTAATGTATTGATAGTGTCGCCAAATCTGCCAACGCGAGCAATTTATTCGCCAATGTGGGAGCACTTCGCGGGCTTAAAACCTTCCGATGCCGGCTAATTTAAATAATGAAATTATTCTCAAAAATAGATATGTTATGCATATCATATCATTATCCAAGTGCTAATTATTCAGAACTCACGTTTTGCTAATTATTATTATTCTGTAAATAACATAACTAAGAGATTTTTGCTACCATTAAGAAAGAGTTAAATATTCTGTTGAAAATCGTGCAGATTTGTTCTTACATTTTAATTTTAAATCTGATTCCGATAATGGTTAAATGCCTTAAACTGGTTTCAGCCTTTGTTAACGTTATTCTATTTTAAGCTGAGTTTTCGAATAAATAGGTATAATGCGAAGTTATTAATGCTCTGTTTTAATAAACTAAACCAAAACCAAACCTAGCTTTGTTCTTGTATGTATTGATACCTTTTAAAGTAATAGCTCTCTTCATAGAATCCATTACACTTTTTACCTATAAACAGGCCTACTAGCGGCCGAGTTGTAAAGTCGCTGAACAGTGTTAGTACAGTACAATGTTCGAATCCTTCGAACGGGCTGGCTGCATGGGCGTTTTCGTGATTTTTCTCACGTGTAACTGATATAGGAGCCAGTTTCCCTTAGATAGTCTTCTAGGAAGGCATGCCTCTCCTTAGGAAGATAGCCCTCGAGTGCTTCCCCGTAATTAAATAAACCATCCATACTATACAGAATACAATATAATCATAGTATAAATAACTGCACATAAATAACTTAGGTAACAATTAGATTAAGAATAAGATCAAAAGTTTTGAAATACTGTTTGTCAGATTTATGCTTAATTATTATTATTATTATTTTAAGTTTTAAAATATAAACAGGTTTCCAGAAATAAAATCACAAATTCTAATGGCACAAAAGCTCAATTTTAATGAATGCGATGGCTGCGCTTTATGTATGTATGGAATTATTTTAATTTTTGGTATAAAATAGTTTAATTTTTAAATCACGTCCTTCAAAAAAAAAAAAAAAAAAAAAAAAAAAAGAACTTCTGCCTGTTCTTTTTTTTTTTCCGTTCCATTTTTACGTATTTCGTATTTTAATTAGTTGTGTTTGTGTTTTTACGTTTTACTTTTTGCATTGCACTTGTTGCCTAAAAAATTTCTGCATTAAAAATATATTAAATGATTTCGGTGTATTTTTTTCATTTATATTATTTTATATCATGGTGCTTTATAGTAATAAACAATTTATTATCAAATTTATTTATATTTTTTGACATTTTTTTGTAATCGGTTAGACTTTGATTATTCCAAAAAAATTCCTGTGCTGTTTCGACTGTCGACCATTTTGATCATCATCGACCTCTTTTTAAAATTTCATCGACCCCAAGATAATCAATACTGTGTTCCGGAGCCCTGTCCCAGTGTAATTAAAATAAGAAATTTAAATTTGATGGGTAAAAGCTCTGACTACTAGTTTAATTTGCTTCTTTTTATTTCCCTTAAATGCTGAACAACGACAGCAACAAAAGTAAATAGTGAGTTTTCAGAAATTTATTCTTGCTATAATAATCTCATGGATGTAACTTTTTATGAAGCCTCAAATTCATGCTTAATCTTCAAATATATTTTGCTGTGATTTTTAATTGTTTGTTTTACTGATCATGTGTTCTCATCATAAGTTTTTTTTTTTTCCTATGCAGGCGATACCTTTGCAAGAAGTGCAGCAAAAGGCAAATGCAGCACCATTAGCAAGAAAGATGGATGCAGGTACTTCATTGGAAGAAAAACCTAATACAGAGATGTCATCGACAGCAGAAAACCTTAGCGCCTTTTTGTCAAGCTCTGATTTAAAGCCGCTGGAATGTCTTGATGAATTACAACCGATTTTAAATAATCCTCAGGCGGATTTTAACATCCTAAGCTATCTCAATAATCGTGATCTTACAAATCCAGCAGACTGGGTAAATTATTATCAAATATTAAAAGCTATGTAAAAACTGTACTTTATGTATAAATAAATAGATTAGGTTAGGTTAACTGGATTGGATTATTCAATTATGGCAAAGCACACGAGGGCTATCTGCCTAAAGGGAGGGATGCCTTCGTGGAGGGCTTTCTAACGGAAACTGGCTCGTATACTCGTTACACATGGGGAAAACCACGGAAGCGCCCATGCAGCCAGTCCGTTCGCGAAATTCGAACCTCGGACCAAACTACCAGTGTTCAGCGTCTTTACCGCTCGACCGCTGGTGGGCCCACGTTAGGTTAACTGAGTATGGCATATTTCACGAGGAAATCTGCCTCATTAATAAGTAATAGTTAACATTAATAAATAGCGGTTAATGGCGTTCATTCTTCAAATATATGCTCTCTAAATTAACATTCAAACTTACACACATTAGGCGCGCAAACTAGAGGGCCGTACAAGGAGGCGATTTCGCAATGCCGCTGAGACCTTTAATTCTACACGATAACGAAGCTATCATCTGGTTTTTCTAGTTGTGAAAAACGCCGTCTACGCTCGCCGCATACTGGGATTACATCGCCGCATACAGGTTGCTCTGATTGGATGCCACCGTAAACTCCGCCTTCACGTTTTCCCGCCACAATGAGCCTCTTCACTGTTGTTCACTGCCTCGAGCTAGATAGAATATAGTTTCACTTGAGATTGGCTGACGACGAGGGTCTTTCAGTAGGTGAGCTTATTTTAAGAGGTGAAATTCTTCGAAAGCAGCATTTTAGAACATCTTATTGGGCAGTATTGCCATAAGACTCCAGTTTAGGAAATTCGGAAATCGACGTCAGTGAATCACGCTTTACTGGCGGACGGATACTGTACGTAAAACCACGAGAGTCCATTGCAGAGCGGTCTTTAAACGCAGTTGAGTTCGTGGCCGCTGTGGTGTGTGTTTGTATCTGTAAAATCATATAGATGCGAACTTTTTACTTTTCGGATTTTTCCTAGGATTTCTGTGTTTTCGAGAGCATCCGGAACGGTAAGCATTGTGTATTCTTTCCCGAAATCATTATAAACCTTTCATCGCGGCAAATTGCAACCCGGCATTACATATGGCACTCGTACATATGTATTATTAGTTTGCTGATGTTACTGTAATTATTATTTGAAATGTGTAATAAGCACATTGTCTGTACAGGTTAACTGACTTGAGATATCATGACAAGTGTAAAAGAGATTTTGGAAATCATTGTAGGTCAAGTTTGCCGCTTAAGTCTCGATGCCGGTCAGATGCAGGAACATGAAGAAAAATCTTTAAATAATTTAATTCTATTTTTTCTTGCACATTTTTAAAATTTCTATGATAAAAATATAAATCGTCTTAAGAATAATTTTCATATTTTAGTGTTACTTAAGTATGAACTGGAAATGGGCGTTCGGCCACGTAATGTAGTGTATTTTAATTGTCGCCAAATCCGCCACGAAACTATTGTAAGCAATAAATTCGCCAACGTGGGAGCATTTCGCCGGATTAAAGCTCTTCAGTGCCGGGTATTTAAACAATGAAATTATTCTTGAAAATAATATGCTGTGCATATTGTCGCATTTTAAAGGTATTAATTTCTGAGAGCTATCACCTTGTTAATTATTATTATTTTGTATATAACACAATAGATTTTTGTTAGCATTAGGGAAAAATTAAAAATAGCATATGGATTTTGAAAATAATGCATTTTTCTTATTACATTTTAATCTCAAATTAGATACGGATAATTGCTGAATGCCTAAAAGTGGTGTTTTATCCTTTTTAATGTTGTCCAGTTTAAGTTTCTTAATAATTAGGTATAATGGAAAGTCATTAATTATCCTTAGAATTTTAAGCTTGATGAGTAAAACTTGAGCACTGACTTTTATTTTAATCTATTCCTTTTTAATTCTCTTAAGTGATTGGGGGGGGAGGAAACAGTGAATCTTTATAAATTTATTCTTGCTGCAACTTTTTGTCAGCGCCCAAATTTCTTTAATTAATGGATTTTTTTTAATTATCTGTTACAGTGATCATAACATGTATTCTCATTGTGAAATTTTTTGAAATGTCGTATATTACAACTGAAATATTTATTTTTTTAAGCAGATGATACCTGATCCTTTTCAAGAATTACAGGAGTACATAAAATGTGTAGCACCATGGCCACAAAAAAGGAATGTGCAAGTGGGAACACAATTAACAGCATTGGCAACGAAAACAGATGTGGATCTTCCATTAACAACAAAACTAGATATAGATATACCATTGGTAACAAAAATGGATGCAAATACTCTGTCACCGGCAAAAATGGATGTTGATCCTCCCGAATCTCTTGATGACTTTACCGAATTAGATGCATATTTACATAATCCTCAATCGGACTTCGACATCATAAGCTTTGCCAATAGTGATCAACCTGATTTCGATGATAAACTCTTGGATGAATTAGCTACAACTGAAGAAAAGTGTGCTGTAAATAATGATACACTTCCTATGGATACCTCTGACCATATTCCTGTTTTTGAGAAGGAGCCTTTGATGGCATTCTCTGATACTGATAACTGTCTATATAATGAAGAACCAATTAAAACTCAAGGTAAAGATGTTATGGAACTTCATAAATATTTAAACAAAAACTGTTTGTGGACTGGTTGTAATGAAATTTGTGCAAGGACTCATACTGTTCCTGATCCTTCCTGTCCTGTCTGTTCTGACCCTCTGTTATGTGATTCTCATCCGATATGTTTTACAGAACGTGGCTATCGTCAATATTATAAAAATTCTAGCACACTATAATAGCCCTGAAAAAATAGTTTATTACCCAGATGGTGAATCAAGATATATTGAACCCTGTACAGAAGTAATAGTTACTCAGCCATATACACCAGCTAGTGATCACTGTTATCACCAACCTATGCCTGAAAATATGTCTGCGACACCTGTAAAAAGTCCAGATGTGCTGAATGATAATGTGGATAGTGAAAGTGCATCCGAGTCATCTGGTAAGTCTGATTTGTATAATTGCACCAGTTAGAGTATAACATACAGAGTTAGTAAATTACCTGTCATTTATATATCTGGTAACAGAAATGTAAATTATTAATGATGTGGAAATTGAGTTTATGTTTTGGGATATGTGTATGGTTTAAAAATTAACATATTTGTTGATTAAGAAAAGAGAATGTATAAAATTTGTTGTAGATTAATGGGTTCTAATATAAAATTGCATAGCTTTAATATACTTTAAATAGTTTGCTTTGTTTTTAACTAGGTGTATGTATTCTCTTAAAGTAGCATTAAATATTTAACATTATGCTAATATTAAAAGATGTTACATTTATACAAATTTTCGGCTGCATTTGTTTCATACAGCCTGCAGAGAATTATAGTTTTGTAACAAGTTATGGATATGGAGTTTTGATACAAGTTATGGAAATTTAAGGCTCTAGTGTAGAATTGGGTGCCCCTTTGATTAGTGACAATTTTTTGTAAATTTTTGCCTTTTATCAAATTCAATTTAAAATATCTTATAGCTTACTTAGGCTTTAATTCGTTATGTAGGGGCAATGAAGCAAATAAAATAGGAGTTTTAAAATTTTGTGCGTGGATCTATCAAATAGGAGTCTGTGCAGTTATTCTGAAAAATTTTGAAATTTTAAAAATGTGTTAGCGTTAACATACTTTAAGCTTCTAAAAATATTCTAGAAGGGATATGAAAACACTATGAAATGAAACTTTCATTAAAATTCACATGTGCTGACTTTGCCCATGAATTTTGTATGTTGTTTTATTGAAAGTATTTCTAGATCGTGGTTTCAGTTAATATTGTACGTGGTTAGCATCAAGTGTTAGGTTAGCAATTTCTAATGAGCATGATAAAACCAATTCGAAACTTTTTTGTAGAGAGGGATAATATAATAAATTCTGGTAAAATCAGACTTAATCCCTGAACTAGTTTGTCTTAGGGCCGATGCGAAATGAGCTGGCGCCATCTATCATTCTCTGCGGTAACTATTTTAATGCTTTCCCGATTCAAGTTATTGCTGACATACTTTTTCTTTACACGTACTTCGTTTTATTTAAGAAAATTTTGGGGTATATTGTTGCCATTTGTACAATGACCACATATTTATAATTGTTTTTATAAAACAGTGGGTTATTTAAATTTTTTATTAACCACAGTGGAAGTGTTTTGCACTTAAGCTTCTATTCGTGTTTCATTACTTCCTGTTTCCTTAAACAAAAGTTAATATTAAAAATGTTTAACTGTTCATTTGCGTTGAAAGATTCCGATTACTTAAAAAATGCAAATTAAAAATGTATAAAATATTAAGGTTTTACTAAATTCGTTTTAAAGATCCCAATTTTTCATTAATACTGAAATAGTTTTCAAAAATAGTGCTCATGAACAGAAGTAAAAGGATACCTACTGTTAAGTGTTTAATCTGCGATTTTCGTTACCTATTATTATTGGAGCTCTAAATTAATTGCATTGCAGATTTCTTCTATTATTTTCGTATATTTCAGGGACAAAATTTAAATCGAAACTTTTAATTACTTGACATTTGTTTGATCCTCTGAAATATGAGTATATATATAAAATCTATTTTTTACATTCTAAATTCTCAATCATCCACAGATGTTCATACAAATAATAAATTTTCAAATTATATTTATCATGCATGGTATTAAAATGCAAATGATTAATTAAATCATAATTTTATTTATTCTGCAACATCCATTTTTATAATCCATCCAAAATATAGTTACTGGATTATTTTATAATTATTAGATATTTTCCTTTTCTTATACATAAATGGTATATCACTCTTATATCTTAAGTAATCTTATAATATTTTCACTAAAATTGGTGTAAAATTCTGTTAAATTTAATTAAAAAAGTTATTCGAAGTTAAATGGAAAAAATAAATTCAATCAATATAGCATAAAAATTTGTTCATATAATATAAATGGTTATCAAATATTGTTGTTTTCTGATAAATTATAGAATTTTTTACACATTGAAAAAGTTTGATCTTACTTGTAAGTTTCATTTTCTGTTCGAAAATGACTACATTTCACTTTTGGAAAGTAAAAGTTGATGATAAAAAAATCCAATAAAAAAAAAATTCTGCTTATGAGGTAAAGAAATTCAAACTTGCTTGCAGACAGGCATGGAATAAAAGTGAATGCAAAATAATAATTAAATTAATTTAGTAAATAAAGAAAATAGAAATTTCAAACTTGAACTAAAATAAAGGTCATGACCTCGATACCAACTCTCGTAAGAAATGAAGTTATAGTGAATATTGTTTTTAAGATGAGATTTTATTGAGCTGGAGTCAAATAGATCCCATGTGCCAGTTCATGGGTTAAGCCGTGATTGGTAATATTGTATAGAAATGAATTGCAGCAGTTGAATTCTCTTCTGTTTTGTCGATTTAATATAGTTCTTTTACTGGGAATGTTTATGTAAATTAAATATTTAATTTCATTTTATTTGTAGTGAAGTTTTTAATAATTCATATTTCTGCCAGTTTTATTTATTTATTAGTTTTATAGCTTGTGTATGAAACTTGAGTTGATCCAAATCCAGAGCTCAGTTTGCAAATTCAGGTGTAGACTAGTGGTAAATTTCCATGCTGTTGTATCTGGCTATGTAACTACTACAGTACAAAGTCCGTAATCCGGACTCGTTGGGACTTCGGCGATTCAGGATTAGGGGTTTTTCCAGATTATAGATCATCAATTTAAATCTGGTAAGATGGCATGCGGAAATTATATAATTAAAAATATGAAATAAAGAGCAATTATGATCTAAAGGGTTCAAAATTTACAAAAAAAAGCATAATATTTGTTTACTTTATTAAACATTTCTTTCAATGTAACTTTCTTCACTATCGGAAGCGCGCATGGGTAAACGCTTTACGCGCATGCGTAGCGGACACGCACATCAAATGCGCATGCGTAAGTTTGTGGCTTTGAGGTCCAGATTATAGATCATTTCGGATAATGGACGTCCGGATTACGGACTATGTACTGTACTACGTAGCTGAATTCTGGCTGTATAACTATTACTTCTGTAGGGATGTCATCTATTATGTTAATGTGAAGAAATCAAATTTTAATTAGTGTAAATTTAAATTTTCGCAGGATTTTGAAACTTATTGTTAATTACAGTAGCTTAACTAATCAGAAAGTCGGCTAGATGGTATAGTGGTTAGGGGAGCCTACTATAGTACCGAAGGGCTCGAGTTCAAATTATGGGAGAAGACGTGGATGTTTGTAAATGTATAGCGTCGGTGCGGCATGGCGGCACTCTAAATTTGCGTCAAGCTGAAAGGTCTCGTGTGGAGGGGTGAGAGATACCCAGATCCCCCCCGGATGCTCTTCCCCAAAATTGAGAGTGGAAGAGGAGAAAAAAATTTTCTACTTATTTGAACTTTTTGATTAGTTGAATGCCAGATACTTGGGCTTTTACTGTAATTTATTGACACAGTTTATAAAAATCATGAAATATTCTTGTCTGCTTAAAAATCAATGTTTTAAACATGTTACTTTGTTTCTTTGTATTGGAATTGTATGAGGTTCTTACTATATTTCAGGCTAAAGTTCAATTATATTTCTGTTGTCTCTAGTTTTGTCATGAATATCAAAATTTGTATGCTTTAATACGCAAGTTTGCTTTTCCTTTGACAATTATGTAATAACTCAGTGTTAGACTAGTATAATGACAGGAGTTTTAATGTGGAACTGCAATCTAATATTTCATTTCTAATACAAATTCTTTTCTTGAAAAAGTAACCCAGGTTTAACTAAAACTTTTTAGTGCTTGCATTATTTTTCCAATTTTCCATGCTATAGCAGACGTGTACTAGTTGGTTGCACTGGAGAAATAGATCATCATGTATTTAAAGGTGATATGTATGTACAAGTTATGGCTATAATATATAGAAAATTAAAATAAATATAGAAAATGAAAATAAAAGTTCAGTTTATCTACTTTTTATTATTAAATGAAAAGCAGATAAATTGATTAACATTTGTCCTAGTTATTCCGGCAACCATGATTTTCTAATGGCATTTAAAATAACAAAACAGAAGTCTTCTTTGTGAGTTTCGCATTGCATAAGTTGACTTGAATATGAATCTTTGTGGTATGCGATTCCATGTGTTTATTTCATGATTTAGCTGTTTTGAATATAAATGGCAAATTCAGAATCTATGAAATTTTCTCAGTGATCTACTTGAAGTTTCAAATCCTACATATTTAGTTTAGAAGCCCCTTTTCAGAATTGAGAGGGAATCTAGGTCCATCTGTAAATCCTCTTTTATTTCTGCCATTAAAATAGCTGCAGTTCTATCTGGAAGTCTTACAATGAAGCAGTCTCCTTGTCATTATCCATTGCTGTCTGGCTAGTCTTCGGCATACTTCATTTTTTAAGTTTTCTTACTTTACACATGATTTAGGCTATATATGCAAATAACCTCGGGTTGTTCCAATCGATCACTGTCCTGTTGGCCATATCTGACTATTCATTTTTCTGTTAATTCTTGTGCTGTAAACAAACCCGAAGTGCAGTCAGAGATGTAATTTTATAGCCCCTGAACCATGCTTCTTTTTGAAATGTATGTTCATTTGTTGTGATTTTTCGTTCACTTGTCATTGTACAGCTTATTGCAGTGGGTTTTTTTGGGGGGAGGGGTAGGATCAAGAAAATGCACAGTCTCCAAATTAAATTTTTTCGAAAAATTCAAGAGAAAAGCAGAATTGATTTAACTTTTATCTTTTACAGAACAAAATTGGCTCATTGAGGGTAAATTAGTGTTAAGTAAAATAAAAGTAAAAATTTTATAAGTGTGTTGAGGATGTGCTTATCTAAATAGCATAGTAGGCCCACCAGCGGCCGAGCGGTAAAGTCGCTGAACACTGGTAGTTCGGTCCGAGGTTCAAATCCCGCGAACGGGCTGGCTGCATGGGTGTTTTCGTGGTTTTCCCCATGTGTAACGTGTATACGAGCCAGTTTCCCTTAGAAAGTCCTCCACGAAAGGCATCCCTCCTCTTAGGCAGATAGCCCTAGTGTGCTTTGCCATAATTAAATACACACCACACCTAAATAGCATAGTTTGGTGATAGTTTTCATTGTCAAATTTAACAATTTTCATTGTCAACAAAAATACCCAAATTTCATTTCTGTTAAGAAATGAATATTATTGAATGTTACATGCAGCAAAGAAAGCAGATTTGATAATATCTGTTAATTTAGCAATCCAAAGGCTAGCCATTACTTTCCAGTTCACTGTCAATAATATAAACTATGAGCTTGAGACCCAGATACCAATTTAGATTGTAATAAATTAAACTTTACTATACACTGGCAATTTGAATTTATTATCAGAAAATGTTTAACCTAATTAAACTTTTATTTTACAGATGATGAAGTAGATGTTGTCACAATTTCCCAGCCAGTCAGAATGATGACATTTATGGCACCACCCAGAAGGCAGCCTGAAAGGATAGTTCAAGCTGAAAAAAGTGTGCGCAAGGCCTCCCTTCCTAGGCGGAAACCTGCAACCACAACTGTATTGAAACAAGCAGCATCTGCATTAAAACGAACAAACTTAAGAATAAGGAAGAAGAGTAAAAGACGCACACAGGCAAGCAGTTTAGATTCAAGTTGTTATTCTGACAGTAGTCGTTGTGGTGATTCCGACAGTGAAGAAGTTGACAAGCGAGTGACACATAACAAAATGGAAAGGAGACGACGGGAAGATCAAAAGCGAGAACTTCAAAATCTTCGAATGTGCATACCTAATCTTAGGGACAATGTAAGGGCTTCCAAAGTAAATATATTACAAGAAGGAAAACATTATGTTGAACATTTAGAATGGGAATCTAGCTCATTTGAAGCACAATTAAATAGTCTGAAAGAAAAAAATTTGAAATTGAAAAAAAGGTTAAATCGTTTACGGAAGCAGTGTGGAGCTGCTGAACTGCATTAAATTAACATCATATGTACTTTGTAAATAGTTGCAATATTTCATTATTCACTTTGCCATGTTTTTTTATTTACATTTGATACTCTGATTTTGTAAATTTGTATACTAGAGTGAAGTTGCAGTGCGAGTAGTAATTTGATACATCTTTCACTCATATTTTAAAGTAATTGTCCTGTCACGGCAAACAGACAATTTATTGGTCATATTTGTAATATGCTAAGGGGCGTTTAGCCACAATGCTTGAATGAGCAGCATTCATCCACAGTAGATAGTGAAATAACAGTGTTTAGGATGTAACATTTAGAAAAGAAATTTAGGACAAGTGGCATTTAGCTGTGCAAGATTGATAAACGACAGGTCCAAGGTTTTCTTTAAATGCCATGCAGTTTTGGATTGATTTAGGAGTTTGAAATTAGTCCCAAACTGCATGGCTAAAGAAAACCTTGGACCTGTCATAAACACTGTTATTTCACCATCTAAAATTGGTAAACTGAAGTGTTTTGCAAAAGAATAAATGATCTGGCAAAAACACATAGCCACAAACAAATGGATCATGTGGATACATTTTTAGAGATTAAAGTTTTGTGGATTCATAATTCTAATCGACCAAGTACAAAAAGAGGTCATGTTTATCATTCACCCACTCACTTAATTTTCTGGACACTTTCCTAAAATTGCTATATCTGTACACTTAGCTACTAAAAACAAATTTGGTAAAAAATAATAATAATAAATGCAGAATATGACAGCCACAAAGGCAACCTGCCTGTTAGGCAAATAGCCCTCCAGGCTTTGGTATATTCACAGAAACCAAACCTAACCTTAAGTAAACCTTGATATTCTATTCTATATTTATAAATATTTTTTTTCCCAAATTTGTTTTTAGTAGCTAAGTGTACAGATATATCAATTTTAGGAAAGTGTCCAGAAAATTAAGTGGGTGGGTGAATGATAAACATGACCTCTTTTTGTACTTGGTCAATTAGAATTATGAATCCACAAAACTTTAATCTTTAAAAATGTATCTACATGATCCATTTGTTTGTGGCTATGTGTTTTTACCAGATCATTTATTCTTTTTCAAAACAAATTGGGTTTAAGTTTTCAAGTAATTATATTTTTCAATAATTTCATTACTTTTATATTTTGATAATTCTCATAATTCATAAATTCAAAAAGCAATCGTCTGTAATAAACGGGTAGACAGTTTGGCCACTTGGGTTAAATGTTAACATCTAAAATGGTTAGTGCAAATTATTAACACCCATCATAATTTATGCTGTATTTTAAGTGTTTTTCATATGTGTATATATCATTTTTTCATCTAGTCATTCATTTATTTTATTACAAGTGTGTAGAAGTCTGCAGATTGCAGTATGATGAATGTTAAAATTTGATTACAGTTAGCCTTGTTTTTGACTTCAGCAGAAAGTAGTTTATCCGAAAACAACATTTTTATGGTTTTACTGATGTGCAGGATAAATAAATATGAACCAATTTGTCTTACGAAGTGTTTCTAGACTTGGAGCATGCAAGGTTTTTCTCTTATTAAAAATGTATTTAATAGTGGGTGTAATAGCATTATACAGTGGATAAACTATGAAAATTGCATTTTTATTGCATTTGGGAATACTGAGTAATTAAAATGTGTATTTTTCATGAACAATTATTTAATTGAAGATTATTTAAAACTTGAAGCATTCAAAAGTCTTGAGTGTTTCATATCTGTAGACTTTAAATTTTTTTATCTGCAAACTTTGTTTTTTATTCCATTTGTGCTAGTTTTAAAATCTTGACTGTAAAATTCAAATTGTCATGAATTTTGCAATTATTTGAAGGTTTGTTACCATGTATCCTCAGTCATTAACCTTAGAAATTTCTCTATGCTATTTTAATTTCATTTTCATCAAGTTCTTAAGTAATTTAATTTTAAAGTAATTTTTAATTTTTTATGATCAGAGTAGTGTATTTAGTATTGTTTGGATTTTAATTGTTGTCACAGAAGTTGTGCTGCCTTAATCATGCCTTCTTTCATAATTTTCTTGTTGTCTGTACAAATCATTGTTTTTTCAATTAGAATTTATTTGTGAAGCATGTCACCTGTACTGTTGCTGAATCAATGTAAAGTGCGTTGTATATGTAACATTTTAACTTCAGGTATATGCCAAAAATGTTTTTGTATATCGAGAATTTACTATTTGTGCTTGAAGTTAAATAAATTGCTATTTCTAAAAGTGTGTTTTCTTCTACTATTTTTAAGATAAAAAATATTGGCAAAATACAGTATATTGATTTCAGCATAACATATCTCTTAATCCTTTTGAAAGCTAATGCAAATTTTCATGAAATGAAGTGTGAAAATGAAATTTGGAGTAGCAATTTAATCTTATTTATGACTATTATCTACAAAAATTAATGAAAAGTTTATTTTTATGCTTGTATAAAAATTAGGCAAGTCAACAGACTAAAATATTAAAAAAAAGTACCTTATTTTTCATTTGATATGAATTCAAAAAAGAAAAGCATCATTTTATAAAGTATTACACCATTATCACTTGTAAAATAAAATAATTTCTTTATTTAACTGATGTCATCAAGCATAATACATAGTTTCATTTATTCCTTTAATATACAAAGGCATAATTAAATTTTTTAAACAAAAATGTATGAACACTTGATGGTGATCAGTATAAGAATTTTAAACATAACCTGAATAAGTTCTGTTCACAGTTAACTTCTAATTATTTGAAATGCATTATGTTGAATGTTTAGAGCAGTATTACTCAGAAGGCACTGTAGAAACTTAGGAAGGTATCACTGGTCTCAAAGATATTCAATCAAGTCATCAGTAAGACAGTGGCGTAGCTAGGTTGGGGCAAGGGGAACATCTGTCTCCAGGCGCAGCATCCAAGGGGCGCCAAATTGATGCTACGAAATTTTTTAATGAAATATTTTCCATTTTTAGCACACAGGAAGGGGTGCAAATTTTTAAGTTGTCCCCGAATGCTGGAAATTCTAGCTACACCCCTGCAGTAAGAATACGCTTGGTTGGCCTAAACATTTAAATATTCACTAGATGTGTATCTTTATATATATTATGATATGCCAATATGCACCTTTGAGAATCATACAAAATCGTGGCATTTGATCTTTCACATTTGCTGCTTTAAGTTGTACATAGATTAATTTTAATGTTATTTCAAAAGCACGGAAAATAAAGTCATCTATCTAAAATTTTAAAAACATGACTATAGGTCCGTATCTAAAGTGATGGCTAGTATCCATAAAAAGCATTTTTTCAATATATGTCATTGCAAATACTAGTGAGACAAGGTTTGGCTTATTTAATTATGACAGAGCCCGCAAGGTCTGTCTGTCTGTATGCCCATGCAGCCAGTCCGTGCACCGGGATTTGAACCCTGGTTTAACTACCAGCGTTCAGTGAATTTACTATTCAGCCACTGTTGAGACGAGACGTGAAAACTATATTGTTTAGAAATATAATTTGAAATAAATTTCATAATCTTTACATATCTTGTATTTAAAATAACATGTAACCATGTCATATTGGTGAACAAAATTATGTAATCTGCAGTGTCCATCCTTTGTGTACTTATAAGCTGGCATTCACTGCTTTTAGCATTCTCGGTTTTCCAAACGTGTTAATCAAACTGTAGGTATAATTTCTATTGTATTTGATAATATTTAAGAGTATACTATTTTGATTTTGTCTTGGAAAATGTTGCTGACCTGTCTGATGTAGTCAGCAGCGTTGTCACCTCTTGGCTGTCAAAATCCAGGCAAAGAAAAAAAAAGTTTTTTTTTCAGTCGCAACTGAAAAAAACTTCGCCTCCTTAATCTCGTTTAAAAGTATTTTTTGAGCTGCAGGAGCAAGCATACTCTCGCAAATACTTGTACATTTTGTTCTACCACAAGAAATTGTTTTTGCCAAAGAAGAATCTGGAAATAGAGTGTGTGAAATCCTGTCTATTAAAAGTGTGATGGTGCTTAATCTTCTGATAAACTGAAGTAATTTCAATTGCTGATATTATTGTCTTGTTTTTCTGAAGATTTCTTCACAATAAATTTCGAAACCGATTGCGAGGAATCCCTATTCGGTATTAATGACTGGTGTTTCTTGCTTTGAGAATGTCCAGTTAAAGCTCTAACATCCTCGTACTTAATATTAACCGTTTTCCGACATACTTTACATTCTTTGTTAAAGTTGTCTCTCTTCATAAGCTAATCAAATTGAGTTAACCACTTGTCTTGAAACGACGTCGAATATTTTGTCTTTTTGTGGCACTTGCAGAATCAGAACCTTTTTTTTTGCACTAGATGTTATTATGAAAGCATTTAAATAATGTCAAAATACGTACTTGTTTGTGGATAGCTAGCTAACTGCAGACTAAATGAAAGAATGGATTGAAAATGAAAGGGTGATGGGAGATGAGGGAGCATGCGCGCGATATGCCAGCATGAAACAACTACTCATCCTGTGAGGCACTTACTCACCGCTCACCGTATATCGCTGCTGCAAAGAATATGTATTGGCATAGACCAGGGGTGCCAAAGTGTGGCTCGTGAACCTGATACGACTCTCGCAGGCAATAAAATATATGTATGAAATATGGTAAACAAAAGCTATTCGGTGTTCAAAAGGAAGTAATTTTTTAGTTTAGACTCTTTTTACAAAGTTATCAGGGATTTATTTCTATTTAAAATCTCCTCCACTACTTGTATAATGATGTAAATATAAACTTGTGGCTTTTAGAAAATCTAGATGCGGCTCTCGAACAATCCTGAATTCAAACGTGCGACTCTTACTGACATGAAGTTTGGCAAACCCTGGCATAGACGTTCTTTGGTTGCTGTGCGCGGTCGTGTGATTTTTGATGCTCTCAATCATTTCGACCGTGCACATTGTGCCGTTATTTTCGAGAAACTTGATATTCCGAGAGACTAATATTTATTTCAAATTCCTTCCTGGAGCCGGGAGATTTTAATTTCCACGACTCAATTCCGGGAGAGCTGGGAACCCTAGTAGTCAGCCCAAGACCACAAAATTCCTTGTGGCAAGGAGCACTAGAATACACCTGCCATTAGCAACAGCTTTGAGCACCATTCAGGTGACAGTGTGATTTAGCTCAGTTCTGCCGCCCCTTATTTTGATGGAGAGTATCCTAGTGGGGGTAATGGATCCAAGGGTCTCCCATCCCTCTCCCCTTCCACCCAATCACATGAGTGAACTTTTGGCTCGTTGCACTGACAATGTACATTTAACAAACATTCATGCATTCTCCGGGATTCGAACCCGGGCCCTTTAGCACGGAAGTCAGCAATGCTAATCACTATACCAGTTGGAGGGCTGGAAAGTTAAGTGTGGTAAGAAAAGGGACTTGATAATAGCTCACTCTGTTTGTTACTATATTTTCTTAGTTTTCACTTAATATCTTTTGTTGATAACATCTGCATAGTTTTGATTAAATTATTTACAAAATATATGAAAGTTCTATGACTAAGCTGTATTCCAGTTCTGAGTGAGAATATGTTAGGCAATGAAATTTGAATGCTGATATCTAGATTTGTCAAGGATTTTTGGATAGATAGATAAGTGACCTTATATTAAACACACACACACAAAGAAAATATGGATTAGTCCCATGCTGAACGGCATGTTCAGGATGCGGTAGCGTTCATAGCTTAATTTGACTTGCATAGTACAATGACGTACGTGCCAGCTCGTGCCGCATTCGTGTACTAATGAGCTGCCATTTCGTGTGTGACAGTGATTTGGATCGGTGGAGTGCACAGCATCGTGCCTTTGCTGTTGAAAGTTATTTCAAGAATAACTACTCTGTTATTGCTACGCAGTGTCTATTTCGGAAAAATTTCAACTTGGGACGTAATGGGAAAGTTCCAGATGGATGGAACCATTGTGACAGATTTTTTCAGGTAAAGTAATTTTCCGTTTTGGTGACATTTCCTAGCCGTCTCGATCACCTGATCTTTCATGTGCAGACTTTTTCCTTTGGGGCCACCTGAAGCAAGAATTTTTTCTAACATGCTGTGCCACCATTCCTGAGTTGAAGAATTGCATCAGAACTGCCATCGGCAATCTCCCAGGGAATATGTTACACCGAGTCATGGCAAGCTTCCAATGCTGCCTAGATGAATGTGTTTTGCAGAGGGGGCGTCATATTTAAAAAGTAATCCACTCAACGGATAATGACTTACACATTAGTGAATGACATACCTTTAACTATTAATTGACATAAGAGGTACTAAATAAATTACAGTTACTGCCTTATGATGTGTTTTTAATATCCTACTATAAATGCTGCTGCACTCTAGAACAAATACATTATGAAAATGAAGAAAATCTCTCTTCGGGGGGGGGGGGAAGGACTAAAATAAAATCTGAAAGGTTTCAGATTTTAACGATCGCTTTCATGTAATGGCAAACACATCTCTTGTTATTAGAATCTAGAGGTCTCCAAAACATCTCCAAAGAGTATCTCCAAAACAATTACTTTAGATGACCAAAAAGAAATTGGCAGTTTATTCCAGTACACAACAAAAATAACAGCTCAAGAATATAGAAGTTAGGAAAATCCTACTCTCTACTTCTCTACCCACTCTAGAAGTGTCTTTGTATACTCTTATCACTCATAAAACTAAAGTGCAATTCAGCTAACTCTCTTTGAAATGCAGTTTCTCTGAAATTACTCAGAAACAAATGACTGATTGTCTTAGTTATATATCAATTGCTTCACCAGGAAGGGAAACAAACAGTAGAATCTCGCTTATTGTTCATATACAGGATAATGGAAGAAAGACATGATTAAATTTGCTTGGTGGTTTGGGGTATACAGCATGCAGAGCCTTTATATCTGGCAGGTGCAAAGCTGTAATCTTGTTAGGCATAATGTCAAACTGAGCTTGGATGACGCATAAGGGTACTTCAACAGTACTATTAACACATCGGAAACCACTTAGACCCATCGGTTCCACATTTCTCAGATATACTTTGACTAAAATATAGTCATGTTATCCCTACTAATATATGAAGTAATGTTGCAAAATGATGAACCACAGTCCAAATAGATCGTCTTCCCATGGTCGAGTTCCAGCACTTTCTAGTAGGAGTTTGTTCTTGCATGAGGCATAACATGATCCACAACCTTTACACAAACAAGCTATATTCAAATGCTGTATCCAAATGAGAAACCCA